TGGAAAATTTAAGGAGTTATTATTATGTACGTTTAGATGATACAACCGGTAGGATACTTTTGCACGTTACTGTAAACCATGATGTCTTCGAACCGCATATATAGGTAGAAAATTCCAAGACGTCTTGGTGTTTATTTCCTTGGCGTACTTAGATTTATTTTAGACAATAATATTAATTAAAGAAAAGGCGGTATACTTGAGAGCCAAGAACACTCGTTAATCTAGTTTACTATAAAATGTCAATTAAATTTTGTATGTTTACTATCACTAATTTCACTAATTCTAGTAATAATAAATAAGTAAGTGACCGGCGCTATTTTTTAGCTTCTAAATTCTCGATTATTTGCCGATCATTTCGATAGTAAAAACAAACTCCCGATAACTTTTAAATAAGGCGAGCCATGCACATAAAATCTGTACCGATACAAACTCCAAAAGCAGCCCTACAAGAAAATAGAGACACTTTTTGATTGTAATATAAAAAATGGAGAAATATTCCTCAGAACACATTTTACGTATTTAAACCCATAATTTTGTCAAGTAAAAGGGAAAGGTGTCTTTATTTTATTGTAGGGCAGGTACAGACTTTATGTGCATAGCTTGCCTCATTCAAAAGTTATCGGGGTTTGGAGTTCGTCTGTTTTTACTATCGAAGATGATCGGCGTGATCGGCACTTTTTGTGAACCGGCATTCCGGTAATTTAATTACCATAAACGACATTCGCGTTTTTCAGAAACTGTCATTTAAAAAAGTGTATTAAAATACGGAAAAAACTGTAATTTAATACAGTCTTTTGACGTGTCTGGCGCACCATAGTACGACCATAAAAGTGTCGGATAAAAGTTCTGAATTATTGACTGTAATAATAATAAAGACGATGTATAACACCGAGAGTTTAATATACTCATTAGAAGGTTGATACTCGTAATATACAACAAAAGTTATAGTGAATCTATCGTTATTGTCCATCTGTCGTTACTGTAAACATTGTTATCGTGAATTTATCGTTATTCTGTTCAAGTTAAAATATTATTTCGTCAATGAGGTATGCCAAAATGTTAGTAGAGTGTTGGAGCCATAGAGTGTGATAGAGACACGAAACGAAATGCGGATACTCTTGATGAAAGTCCAATCGGAGCATTACAGTGGAAAGAGAAATATTAATGTTGCGGTTGAAACTAACCTTCATTAACGAAATAATATCTACGATATAATATACAGTGTGTAAAGAAATTATTGGCAAAAAAATTGCATAGACTTAAAATCGCATAACTTTCCCAAAAATAAGCCAATTTACTTAAACTTGTTTTTGTTTTGATTACGAAAACCTGTGTTTTTGTTTTTATTAAATGGTGTAATGTCTTTTAGAAGTCACCTATTTAACAAAATATTAACAAAGTGACAAGTTTCGATTTAAAAAACCAGCAAGAAACTAGATTACATTTTGGGACATAAGAGTCCGCTTTTATCCTTACTACTTGGAGTATCAAAATTGGTTCCCATGTAATACATACGCACACATGCTATCGCATCAGCTACATTCCTATTACCATTTAATATAAGATGCTTGCCCTTCACTTTCCTTTTTTTTTACGGGTAAGACGGTAAGAGGGATTCCAAGTTCTTTTTGCCCGAAAGGGGAGGAGACCGGAATAGAGTGCAACAAATTACATGCCGTGGAGGAAAAAGAAGTGAAGTGTTCTCGCATGACTGTTGGAGGGCCTGGAGTGGATTTTCCTCATCATTTTCATTCATTATCTCGATGACATTGCTAATGATTTTCTGTTCATAAGAAATTTTTAGACATTAATAAACATATTCAATTAATCAATTAATATTAATATATTTCCTATAATAATAAGACACAAACTTTTGCCTTCCACGCAAGTACAATGGCCGGAAGAACTCCTTTGCCAAACTCACTAATATTTGATGGGATGGTCAGCATTTTAGAACGAGAGATTCTACTAACATATCCTGCAGGAGAATCTAATCTGAGCAATAGTATGGAAAGTCCTGGAGAATTCAGAAAAATTAGTTGAGAATCTGGCAAATAAAAACTATGATGTATCATACCTGCATAAATGAATCCAATAGTCTCAATCTTTCTGACTTTTTTTTCTTTTGATTCTATGTGAATGCATAATTCATCAAATTGATCCTTCATTATCTTTGGTGTTTTCAACCCTCTCTCTCGTAGAATTTTTGTACCATTATAGCCTGTGTACAGTTTGCCTGCTTCTCCACATCCATATTCCCTACACATGCAACGAATTATCAAATCTCCCCATCTGCCCATGATCTCCCTTGGCATCGAGCTCACAGATGGAACATTTCGATCTCTATTTTTTCGAGATGATGATACAATACTACAAAATTCTCCCCTGTTTACAAAATGATCCAGGGTATTAATGATTAAATTCTATAAAGGGATATAATTTATATTTATCTTACCTTATTACTTCAACATCTATGTCTTCAAACACCTTGTCTATGAACAACCATACATGTGACAGCAACCATCCTTCTAAATGAACCCCTTTTTTTAGACTGTCTGCTTCATATTCACGAATCCTACATGAAAAAGGTGGCATGATTGATATTTAATGTCATTCTTTAGAGTAGATAAGAAAATGTTGCACCTACAGATTGTCAACAGTATTCCTTATCCAGTCCTGGTCAAAATTCTTCTGTCGGTTGTAAGCTGATTGCCATGGCTCTTGCATAAAAACCCGCGTTCTGAGGTCAGAAATTGTGGACTATTCAAATAAAGAAGTTGTCAAAACATTATTTGTGAATAATAATAATGGCCAAAGCATAATGATATGAAAAGTACATGCCAATTGGTAACTATTAAGATATTCTAACAAATCTTGGGGAATATTTGGAAGTGGTTTTGATCTGTATGTATGGATTTCCTTGAGTTCAGATAGGGTAAAAACATTTTCTTCAACAAAACTTCTGTCATATGGATCAATTATAAAAGAATGACAAAGACTTTTGACATGTTAATGGTTTAGGATCTATAATAATCTGATTTTAAAAACAGACAGTACTTACTGTTCATAATTACATCTCATGCCAAACTTGTATAGCTCATCTTCAACAACCTTTCCAGATGTTAGTACCCATTTTTTGCTATCTTCAAGTTTTTGGAATGCTTTCGTGAACTTATTAAAATCCTCTTCTGACATCTGCACTTGCTCAATTTCATCACTGTCTGTATCTGTTACCAAATCCGGTGTTTGTCGTGGAATACTTGACTGAGTACTGCTGAAACTTTTGGCTGGAGGGCTAGAACTTCTTACTTCCATTTCTTTATTCGTTTCGATCTTCACAATCCAAAAATAAGAGATATTTTTGCGATCTATGACATAAAACTTTCAAGAATAATTTTTAAGTAGCCGAAATACACTGGTATAAGTTACCTTTTTAAGTTTCTCTTGTTTCTCTTTTTCCCTAAGTCTCATCCCAGTCGAAGGTTCTCCTTCCCGAGATGAAGTCCCCTCGGTACTTGTTGTTTCTTGATGTCTTCCGAACGTTATATTACTACTTTCAACAACCTGGGTCGCGCTTCCGGATGCAAAATTTTTCATCTTCTTAACCTGAAAAAAAAACACTATTTGTAATACTTTTTTGCCTTGTAAAATTTTCATGCCAGATGCTCACCTGTAGACGTCCGATGTTCACGTCACTGGAACGCTTCATGTTCTTTCGTATGTTGGTCCAGTTCTTGAAAAAATAAAGTACATAATTAATACGTTGATACTTATAAGAAGCATTTCCACAACATCAAACTAGGAACTATCCTTCAGACGAGCAGTCCCAGCTTGCACTAGGCGTCGAACGAGCAGTTCATCACTGGAGACGAGCAGTCCCAGCTTGCGCCAAGCGTCGAACGAGCAGTTCATTACTGTTGGACTAAGTTCTTAACTCATTCAAGCACCGAATAAGCAGTTCAATGTTGTTGGATTAAGTCTCATTAATAGACACACTTTCCAGTTGTCGAGAATTTCTCGAGCTTTTCTTTTTTTCCTTATATCGAACGAATCAGATTCTTCCACCTCTTCAATATCTTTTTTTATACGGTCCAGAACTTTTTTCCTATTTTTTTGTTCCGATTTCGAACGATAATATTCCATAATACGTGCACACGTCCAGTTTTCTATCGCGGTGTCATCGTAAAAAGCTTTAAGAGTGAATTTTGATAATGTTGATTGTGTAGACATCGTGTCGTGTTTGCAAAAGAGCGACAAATTGATGGCGAAAAAAAAAATTTTTACTTCAAGCATCACCATAAAAATTTCACGTTCATGTGATATGAATTTTGGTCAGATAAAACAAAGTCAAAATGCTGATAATCGATGGCAGGTTTAACACGAGTTGTGTTTATAGCTACAACTTTTTCTCGTATAACGAAATAATAAATATTGAGTCTTAACAATTCAGCCTTCGTTCACAGAATTGTTTACAGTAAAAAGTGTGGGACACTTTGTTTTGATACATTTTGATTATACTGATTACGAAAATAATAAAACTGGTTGAATGCTTCGCACAACGGACCAACTAAACTGACACTTGGCAAATTTAGAGCTCGGCTTAAAATAAAAAATGATGCACACGAGTCAGGTTTCAACCATATGATTTTTTGAAAGTAGATGGGTGTTGAGTCGGGAGAGCAATTGATTGCTGACCTTGGGATTTAGCTATTTTCAGATGGAGTGGGTTTCCTAATGCTAGTTAAATTTGACGACAGTTAGTGACCTGTAAACTAGACTTTATACTCACCGCCTTATTCACCCTCGAATTAATCGACTATTCCTCTGATGGGATTAGTTCGGAAACTTACACTTGTATCTAGAGAATAACAATTATAATGTCACGAAAATATCCACGGGACAAGAGGCGAATATTCCTAATTTTAATCGATTATAGAAATTAGTGATTCACAACCATAATTAGCACGAATCATTAATAATGTGTTCCTGAGCTACTCGCTAAACATGATTTAACATAATGAATTCTATCAGAAAGTAGCACTTTTCATATCTAATCGAGATGTCAATTCTTTTTATTATGGTTAGCGTCATTTTTCTCCTAAGAGATATACGTCATCAGTTAAGTTACACAATTAGTTACACCGATCGATAAGACTTATTATTATTATTATCTGTCGGCGGCGGATTGCTTGTTAATTGTGTGCTTTGGAGATGAATGACATAATTAACGTAGCCGATTTATCTTCGGCTCTTCTGTCAGACTTTGAAAAACTTTATGAAAGTGGCAAATATACAGACATTGCAATCAATGTTGGAAGAGAGCCAAACAACAAAACATTTCTTGCTCACACAGTGGTGTTGTGTGGAAGATGTGCATATTTTGAAACTAAATTAACTGGAAATGCAGAATCATCTAATGATATCCAACAAGCAACCATGGTATTTGAGGATTTGATACCTGAATCTTTTGAAATTTTGCTTAGGTATGTTCTGTTGTGAGATAGAGGGGTCCGTATTATTTCATCGACAATCATTTCACCGACAATACATTTCACTACCAAAAAAGAATAACTTCGAAATAATGATGGTGAAGATTTGTCAATGAAATGATTGTCGGTGAAATGATTGTCGACGAAATGATTGCCTCCCAGATAGAGAGGTATTCCACTATAAGCAAACGGTCATTTTATAAGTACTTACTTGAACCATTTATTCTAAAATATTGATTTGTAGATTTCTTTATTCAGGAAGAGTGAATTATCATTCAAGTGAAATCATAGACTGGATTGGTCTTTTGGATATTGCCTGCAGATTTGGGTTGGATGATCTTGTCATTGCAGTTGGAGACTATCTGATCAATCACCAAAAGATGTGGATAAAACAAAACATTCTTGCAATCTACAAATGTGCCTTATCCTCAAGTTTATTAAACAAGATTTTGGATTATTGCAACAACATTATGTTATCATCACCAGAGCTTATTTTTAAATCTGACAATTTACTGAGTTTACCAAAAGATCTCTTGATTACTCTTCTCAAACATGATGAGCTTACTATGAAAGAAATCGACATTTGGACATCAGTAATACAATGGGCTACTAAGCAGGTTCCAGGACTCATAAATGAACCAAATGGTTGGTCATCTGAAGATTTTACTAAAGTCAGGGCAACTATATCAGATTGCATTCCTCATATAAGATGGTTCAATATTCAATCTGAAGATTTTTGTAAAAAAGTTGTTCCATATGATGAGTTATTAACCAAAGAGTTGCGTCATGATGTGCTTAGTTATTATATTGACAAAGACTACAAACCAAAATTTTCAGTTTTACCACCAAGGAAAGATCAAGTTGATATTAAGTTTGACATTGACTCAGTAATTATCAATGAACAACAAGCAGCATGGATCTCACAGAAGATTATAGAAGTAAGCAAGTCAAATCTAAAAGATCAAAAAACATCTAGAACAAATAATAGTTTTCATAAGTTGACTCTGCTTTATAGACACAGCAGGGATAGTGGTTTTTTTCTAAATTTTCGACATATGTGTGCTGAGAAAGGATCCACAGTAGTTGTTGGGAAAGTAATGCATACAGAAGAAATACTTGGTGGATATAATCCAATACCTTGGAAACCTTTTTCTTCATTCTCTGACAATATTATACTTACTTCATTATGGGCTTCAACTTCAGAAAGTTTCATATTTTCATTAGATAAAGATAAATTAGAGAAAAACATATTGAGTCCTGTTGTCAATAATGAGTATTGTCGTGCCGACTACTGCGGGAGAGCAGAAAGTAATCGACACTTGGGATTTAACTAGTCTCGACGGAGCGTGGC